CGGCGGGGGAAATCAGGCAGCGCCAAGTCAGGGGTATAGCGAAAATACACCCTCAGAGCAAAATTCGCACGAAAATGAGGTGCTAAGAAAAAAGGAGAGCTGACAAGGGAAGTTGATTGTTGCAGGATTTGGCTGTAAACAGTTATTTTACAGACGCTGGTAAAACTCTAAAGGACCATGCAAGTTTAACGGGGGGAACACTCATGTTTTTGTGCTTCCTTTTTTAAAGCTCTTTCAAAAATGGATTAATTCCTGCAGGGCGTTGAGTTCCTGTGTAGCTTGAACTAAATTCTCTACGTATTTGTTGAGTATTCTTACAACGGGGCCAAGTAGGTGTCATTGAAACTTGTGTAATTCTGCGTCAGCAGTTATGTTGGTTCAATAATTAAGTTTAATTGTCCCTGCTATACCTGGGCATTTCAGACATGGGAAGACTGCCCGCTTCTGTGATTTCTAGGTTTCATGTTGTTTTTACATAGTGCAGCGCTCTTATGTACGTTATAGATCACCGTGTGATTGTTCGTTGATGTTTCTGGGTTTTTTTGTTGTTAAATAACACAATTTATTTGGTGCAAGAAAATAAATGACAACCAACACAACGTATAACACGTTTAAATCAACCAAATTATCTGCTGGCCTAAAAGAAAAGGCTAAGAATTTTAACTGTTTTTCTTCTGAACTGTAGTTGGCATAGATGTTGTCACCTCTGTTTTGTTTTTAGATGCCTGTTGTGATGGAGGGCAGCAGGTAGAGTAGTATATTACTTCTATCTAAGATGTCAGGACAAGGTTATTGTTACTGCTCTGTAATGGGTCTGGGAGCTGTTGAGATGTGTCATGTATTAATTCCTTTCCTTATGAATTCCCTAAGGATAAGTTACAGGCAAATACCAGACCAAATTCTTGCCTCTCTCTCCATGCCTAACTTCTGGACTTAAATGTAAATTGTGCCGTAATCAGTGTCAGAGTATGAGTCCCTTTGTAATTATTCTAGGTAACTCAGAAGTATGGTGAACATATGTTTTCACTCCTGAGTCTATATACTGTGCCGAGCAAACATATTTCACGCACTGTGGGAGCCTGCTTGCATAAATCACATCCACAGATATTTTTAATGGCATGCTATGCCTACTTAAAGTTATTCTGATCTAGATGTGTATGTTAGGCAAGGATAGCTTAATGTGAGCAGATTACATACATCTTCAAGTGACATTTCGCTCCTAATCCTCTTCTGAATTAGTAATAAAAATTAACTTTGTTATATGCGTCCTGCCATCGTCCCTTATATACCTTCAGTGTGAGATACAGCCGCATGATGCTGTGCAGAATTGTGCCCACTGGATTCTCACTTCTAGGGATCAGAGTCAATAGACAGACTGACTTGTGTCAGCTTCTAAGAAATATATGAAAATAACCTGATTTGTCAGGGTCTATAAAATTTGAATGTAATCTGCCAGCACTATTTTAAGTCCAGCAGTTCAGTGTTTGTAATAACACAAGGAATAAATAGACATGGAGAGAAAATGCAGTGGAGATCCCAAGGAAAAAAAAGTTTACTGAGTAATCTCTGAAATATCAAAAGCAATTAATTAATTTTGGGGTATGTTTTAAAATTTCTTATGTGATGGGTTTGTTTTGAGATTTTGATGGGATATGATTAAGGGATGGAGTCTCTTTAGAGAGAATTAACTATGATGGTAATAATTAGATTTGAGAACCTCTTCTCTTTATAATAGCATTGCTTTTCTCCATGTGTACCCTCACGTATAACCTTTTATGTACAGATACAGAAAAGAGCCTGCTGTAAGTGGAGAGTGTTGAATGGTGAAGATAATTGCACAAAAAGATTTGCTGTGGCAGATGTGGTCTCTCTTTTTATGTGGAAGTAGAGGAAACTGGACTGTTACCTGAACTTTTCAAGTGACATCCTTTTTGTAATGAAACCAGATTTTTTTTCACTCATTTAGATAGTATTTACTCAAAATTTTTTGCTCAGTGGATAATAGAAGGGCTCAGTCACAAATTGTAGGAATTGTACCGTAGCAGACGTACCATTTAATTGAACCGTGAAAATTCTGTTCCTCAGAAGAATAGATATATATACCTTTTGAAGATCCACAACTAGGATTGCCTCGCATTTGACAGTATTTTTAAAAAAACAATATTGCAATTGAAAGTTTAAACCTTTACACTTTGAATTACATTTTAGATGGCAAATTGTTGTCAGATGATGTGACTCATTATGTTGTCCCTGACTGGAAGGTGGTTCAAGATTACCTTGAGATTCTTGAGTTTCCAGAGCTGAAAGGTATTATTTTCATGCAAACAGCGTGTCAAGCTGTGCAACATCAAAAAGGCCGCAGGTACTTACCCTATAATAACTTATTGTTATTTTAGATTGAAGTAAAGATGTTAAGTTTGTAAAATGTGTATTTAAGCACAGTATGCTTAATTTGTTTTTAAGTCTTTCAAGTGTTTTGACATAATTTTATGAAAAGGAAAGAGCTATGATCCCTTGGAATACATAAGCATCAATACCTGTTCTATTTTCACGTGATAGGAACAATATTAAACCTATACTATTATTACTTAATCAGATAACTTGTGGAAGGAATTAAGGAGACTTTGCAGCAACAATGTGAATTTCATATGCCAAAACCAGATTATGCTTCTGTTTTTGTTCCTGCTGTATTAAAGAATGAACACATTTCTTCGAGGAGCAATTAATAATATGCTTATATGTCTTACCAGAAGTTAACCTGTGTATTGCCATACCATATAAAAGTGCAGTTTTTTAGGATCAAGGTCTTATATTTTTAAGGCACCAACACCTTTTAAGAAATAGCTTTTGTCCCAGAAGTGACAGAATGAGTTCCTGAACATTTATGGCTTTTTGTACTATGAATGGTCTCACTGGAAAAGGATTCATGTGTATTGTATTACAAATATGGTGTAAAATCTGAAGAATTCATTACGGAAGTTAAAAAAGCCTACTTACAGATTACTTTTTAGGTTTTATCATCAATGGTGGAATTTAAGAATAAATACATTTGTTTATGAATGACAGGATTTAGTCTTACCCTGTTAGAATTCTTTAGTTTTCCGTGGGTTTTTCAGCTGTATTTTTAACTGGAGTTAACACAGCATTATCAAAAGAAATCACAAGGCTGTATTCTTTTTTTCATTTTCCAGACAGTACAACAAACTACGAAATCTAGTAAAGGATGCCCGTCATGATTGTATTGTGTTTGCTAATGAATTCCATCAACATTCCTATCTGCCAAGAGAGAAGGGAGAATCCATGGAGAAATGGCAGACCAGGTTTGTTTTAACTAATGTAGTTTTGCACGAGAGAGTATTGTGACGTTGTGTCTAGAAATGTTAGTAGGCATTGGATAGGTAAGAGTTGGTACTCTTGCTCTAATTAGCTCTAGAATAGTTCATGATAATTGAAAGTCTAGATTGTCCTTTTATGATTAAGAATGCATCAACATCGTTTTCTTAGAAAAATACACAAGAATGTAATTAATTAAACACAAGGATAAAAATACATTGGACCAATTTAAAGATAGACAGGCGTTTTAAAGAATGCTTTAACATAATAAATAGCTAAAACACACTTTAATTGAAGTGTTAGCTGTAATGTCCGTTAGCCTACAAACAACGCAGCACTGGACTCCTGGCAGTTCCAGCTTGCTTTTCACAAACTTTCACTCGAGGAACACTGTATTATGTTGCAGCTGGGACACAGGTGAAGGGCTACTAAGATGATTAAGGGACTGGAGCATCTCTCCTATGAGGAAAGGCTGCGAGAGCTGGGACTGTTCAGCCTGGAGAAGAGAAGACTGAAAGGGAATCTAATCAATGTGTATAAGTTTCTGAAGGGAAAGTGTCAAGGGGATGGGGCCAGACTCTTCTCAGTGGTGCCCAGCGAAAGGATGAGAGGCAACAGGCAGAAACTGAAACACAGAAAGTTCCATCTGAACCTGAGGAAAAACTTCTTGACTGTGCGGGTGACTGAGCACTGGACCAGGTTGCCCAGAGAGGCTGTGGAATCTCCTTCCCTGGAGATATTCAAAACCCGTCTGGACACATTCATGGGTAATGTGCTCTAGAGGACCCTGCTTGAGCAGGGGGGTTGGACTAGATGATCTCCAGAGGTCCCTTCCAACCTCAGTCATTCTGTGGTTCTGTGTATTGGGGAGGAAACACTATTTTTGCGCTATTCTCTCAGTGCTGATGTAAGGCACATAAAATGTCTTGAAAATAAAAGATTTGCTGTATATATCTTAAATGTATGCGTAATAAAAAAAAATCACTTTTATACAAAGCCTGGAAATGCCTGCCCAGTAGCAAACGGGATATGCCAGAAATCTTGTTCAAACTTTGCTTTTCTAGGAGTATTTACAATGCAACAGTCTGGTATTATAATCACTGCTTGGGTCAGATGCCAGTTGTTATGGTAACAGAAGATGAAGATGCTATCAGGCAGTACGGAAATGAAACGGAAGGAGTGTTTGTGATTTCCTTCAAGGTAACGTATCAGAAGAATAGAAGAAGGTTTCCTTTATGCTGCATCAAAATGGCAAAGCAAGTACATTAAACCTAATGTATAGTGCAAATCATTCTGAAGTTTACATGTAAAAAATACTGCAGTGGTAACTCATGACTTCATTTATCAAAGAAAGCAAAGACGTCAATGCTGGGAATGTCATCAAAATCAGTGGCAGTGAGTAAAACAGAACTGAGAAGGAAAACAGCAGCTCCAAGGATGGAGGTCATCTTTCTTAGGATCCCTTTTCATCATTTTCCATGTTTTTGAAGAATTTAGTGCTGATGAACAATAATCAGTTACCTCAGCCAGCTGTCTAAATCTGTAGTGCAGGTCCATTCACAGCAGTAACGGACCTGCACTACAGCAGTAAATATCCATTGTATTATTCTGCCCAGTGTACTTTAGCCTTGACTATTTAGGATACTCTGATGTGCAAGAAGATTATTATTCTTCATTTGGTTGTTGCTCTCTGATACTGCTGGTATTCGGCAGGGTATGTAGATAGGAGATTTACTTTTAGCTGTGAAAGGATGTTTTCAAATCATGAACACGTGTAAGAAAAACCAAACCCCAAAAGATTCACCTTAAAGTTATATATGCAAACATGATGCTGGTGGTTTTTTTTTTTTTTTGAATTTGAAGCTGTACAGAATCGTGTAAAAACTAAAAAGAATAATGGGTGGCTTGGATGGGGTAATTAGTGGTAAAAGTCTGTGAATCTCTAGTCTAAGATAGTTTCTTAACAGTAATGTTCTCTTTGTTGTATTCAGCCAAAGTGTTGGGTTGAATCTGGAACAACTGTGTAGTGTTTAGAACAGACACATGGTTACCACTCAGAAATGCTATTTGAGTATAGCACATGACAGCTTTCCAAATGAAGCATTATTAAAAGAACAGAGACACCTCAAACTCATTGCCTGTTTATGTATGTGCATACAGAATTACTTGGATAACTTTTGGCCTGACTTAAAGGCTGCCCATGAGCTCTTCGACTCAATAATTCAAGCTCGCCGTGAACGGGAGAGTGAAAGTCAAGAAAATAATGGAAAAGAGTATCCTGAGCACTTACCCATGGAAATAATAGAGGCTGGGGTCAAATCTGGAAGATACGTACAGGTAACTTTGTTATTTAGAGATCATGTGCGCTCTTGTGCACGGTGCACGTGGATGTGAACAGTGCGCTCTTAGGGTAGGCCCCTTTATTTCTCTGAATTAAACTGATTAGATGAAGAAATATCAATCTAGCGGGAAGAGGGAAAAAAAGATATTTTGAGAAAGAAACCAAAAAAGCCAGACTAAGAGTTTGGAGAAGAGGGAATGTAAAGAAGTTGGCTATTGAAGCTAGCTAAGGAATAATCAGCAAAGATACTTATTCCCATTCTTTTCCTCAAATAGCAAGTTGCTCAGGTGATAGTCCCTAGGATTCTCAAAATATTTTTTTTGCTTACTTCCCTTTGTGAGCATGCATTTTTTTTTCCTCTTGGAGAACAAAAAATGAGAATTTGTTATTGATGATCTTCAGTTTGCTGTGGATTTTTCTTCAGGTTGATATGTGATGTAGCGGTAGATTGAGAAACTAGGTATGATATTAGGCCTGTCATCAAAGTTCATACATACCTACGTATCAATAAAAACTACTCATTTATTAAAAATATGTTTCAACCTCAAAATTTTGTACTTTAAAATTGGCACTTTTGAGGTGCGGCTGTCTCATTTTTTTATCGTTTTATTACTTTCTTTTAGGGTATCTTAAATGTCAATAAGCATCGAGCACAGTTGGAAGCTTTTGTTCGACTTCAGGGAGTTGGCAGCAAAGAAACAGGTGAAAAGACAATGAGATGATGTACCCAGTGATTTTTTGGGGCAGAATTCCATGTTCCATGCCAACCTACTGAGGAAAAAGTAAACTAATACACTGTCTGTGCTTACCTACGGCCCTGTGGCTGTATCAGCTGTTCAGCTATTAAACAAGAAGGTGAAAACTGAGATACTGCAATGCTGAGGTTTTCTTCATGGACCGGAAAGGATGTTGAAGATTATCCCACAGGGCCTCCTGATAAAACAGTACTCTCTATTTCCACCTTCCCCTCTCTTAATACCTTTGGCCATTAACATTTTGGATTCATCTGTCCTACTAATGGGTTTCTCTAGACCTTTTCTCAAGTTGAATACTGATGCAAATTGTTATCTTTGTGCTCTACTCTAACTTCAGATGTCTACTTGTGCAGTTGAAATAAGTATTTGCATAGATGTTGGCAGGAGCAGGAAGCTGTGAACATAATATGCAAATTATCTTTGGGATCAGATCGGAGCACGAGTATCCTCTTTCTGGTATGAGTTAGTAATAAACGGCTCTGCAGGAACAGTGCATTATGCTTTCACAGCTATATTCTCCTACCTTTCAGTCATGAAAATTTTTCAAATGTTCTGTGGCAGGCTCTGCAGCCAAACCGTTTTTTTTTTTTTTAAAACTTGTTTAATCTTTTAGCCTGCCCAGAATCATGTGGCAGTGGTTTCCAAAATTTAATTGTGTGTTGTGTGTTTTTAAAGCTGATGCCTAAGAACAATGAACTCATCGTAGCTTATGAAACCTTTTATCCAAGAGTTCATCTACAGAAAAAAAAAAAAGGAGGGAAAAATTTTAATTTTCTTGCAATATCAGTTACTTGCCAATAGTCCTTTTTGGAAGAAATCTTATGAAAAAATGTCGTCTTCGGCAAACTGTTATTTCAGCAGAATGCTGCCAAGGTTGGAGAGATTTGAATTTTCAGCTGTTTATAATTCTCTTTCTTTCTTTTAAATTTAGAACTTCAAAGTGACATACTTATTTATGGAGCCAGAGCTCGAAATCGTGCAATCCATGGTGATGTGGTAGCTGTTGAGTTGCTACCCTTGCATGAGTGGAAAGGAAGGACTGTTGCCCTTTGTGAAAATGAAACTGAGGATAAAACACTTGCAGACACCACTGGTGACCCTATGCCCACAGGTAAAGTATGATACAATATTTTCTCAAGAATACCTCACTTCCTTGGTCCAAACTGTGTTGTACTCTTCATTATATAGTCCCTTCATCGATTTCTGTGATTAAGTGCCATATTTCTGCACCATAATAAATTCCAAGTGCTTATGCCAAATGAAGGTGTTCTAACACACCTCAAAAATAATGCCCCTAGATTTTTTGTCTATGTTCAAAAAAACAATTTTTCCTCAGTTTCATTCTCCAAAATAGCTGAATCACTGTACGTATCTTCCAAAAGTACTGAGTCTTCAGTAGATGCTGTGTGTGAAACAAATCTCATCTAAAACATTTAGTTTGATAAAGTTATTATTATAATGGTAAGATGTTCCTCAAAGTTGAGAACAGATGGCGATATCAATCTGACTTGCCGTACCTCCATAGGAAACACTTGGAGTTCCAATTTGGATGAATTCTTATCAATGTAATCACTTTATTTAAAAGAACTGCTAGTTAAGGTGATGTTGGCCTAGAAGAGAAAATCTTGAATACTTGGCCACCCAAACACATGCTGTCACTCTTCACAGCTCCACAAGACACTAACTGCCATGCTAATACACACCCATTTACGGAGTTAAATGTAGTTAAGTCCTTCCTTATTGCTCTTGATTATACAGGATGGTGAAAACCTCCTTTTACTTCCTTGAATTCAAATAATATTCAAGACTAAAATTTTCGTAAGTGATGAAGTATCCAGCTCCCATGACAATCTGTCATGCCGATGTGTCATGGGAACTTTGATTCTCATTTGAAAATGTTACTCTATAGGTATAGCTCCCTTTATGAAGTCTTTTGAGTTTGCTGAAGTCAGAGTTAAAAGTTATAGAAGATTAGGTCTTCTCTTCCTGAAATAAAATGCTGTATGATTTTGGTCTTTGCTGTTAAAAAGTTGCTGTATTTTTTACTAGAACTGACCAGATTTCAGTAGTAGACTGTGGGAATATCCCTGTATATTTTATGTACTGTATCAATTTAAATGTATAAAATAGCTTAGTCTCCTTCAGATTGAAGGGCCCTGCATAAATAAAAACTCATTGTAATCTGGCTGTGCCAGTGGTAATTTATAACAAACTTACTGATTTGGAGTGAAACACGTGATTCTTGACTAGTGCAGTAGACATGTAAGTGCTATCTGCATTGCGTTAGATCCCTGGTCTAATGCAGTAGACCTATGACCACTATGGGCTGCATACCTTATCTTGTTAGCAATTATTGCTTGCTTTCCTGTTCCTATTTAACTATTTAATGTATAGCCAACAATGTTCCTTATTAAAAGGCAAAGTCATTGGAATCATTCAAAAGAACTGGAGGGATTACGTGGTCACTTTCCCCTCCAAAGAAGAGAGCCAGTCCCAGGGCAAAAACGCTCAGAAAATCCTCGTTACGCCTTGGGACTACAGAATTCCCAAAATCCGGATCAGCACCCAGCAAGCTCAGTCACTACAGGTAGTTCGATATGAGTGTTTCTGCATTTTTGTATTCCTTTATAACTGTACAGGTTTCATATACTCTAATGAAGTTTTCCGTAGCAAAAGGAGGGGTAAAACTATTGATAATGTTAAGTCTGCCAAAGCAGCCCGAGTCCTACCTTGAAAGAATGTGTTCAACACCTGTCAGAATTGCATCACCTTCAGGTATTAAAGCTTATTTGACTTCTGAATTTGGGCCGCTATCCAGGTACCCTAGCATGTATATAAGACTTGCTTTGTTTTTTTCTGATAAATTAGGGGTCATGTTAGGCTTATAGATTGTAATAGCCCTAATGACTTTAATGGGTCTGTGGCTACATATAACTTTGATGAAAGTACTAAGGAGAGCTTTTAAACAAATAGATAGTGAATTATGGTAATTAGCCTGTCATTGCTGTAGAAAGAAGAAACATGTCTTTGCTCATTCCTTGGTGCTTTTACTTGATAATGTTGAATACGTCTTCACAGCCAAGAAGTAAATTCTAATTGTGTCTTCTCTGATAAAAGAATAAGAAAATGTGTGTACATTTTGATTTTGCTTTTAGTTTGTTTGTACTTCAATATATAGATTATATAATGAGCCCAAATGGGTCTTTAATGAGGAAAGAAATGTAATTCTCAGCACCTATTTCTGTATTTCTCATTGTGGGTTTCTTTTTCCTTTCTAAAAACATTTTTGAGTTGCCAGTCTCTTTGGATTGTGCTGTTTGCCCCTTAATGGGTATTTATGTTGATTACTTATCAGGAGCAGATTGCACTTCTAACAGAAGAATTGTCTTGCTGCAGGAGTATAGAGTTGTTGTGCGTATTGATTCTTGGGAATCAACATCTGTATACCCAAATGGACACTTTGTGAGAGTTTTAGGAAGAATTGGAGATCTTGAAGGGGAAATTGCAGCTATTCTTGTGGAGAACAGCATTTCTGTTGCCCCCTTTTCAGAAATCCAGGTTAGTCTTTGTGATTAGGTACATTCTTTTCTATTGATTTCCAGGATGTTGTTCCTCAGAAAGAGGGACCCTCTTACAGCTGAGGGAGTTAGTTGCTCACAGATTTTTTAAAAGCTAGAAACTATATATAGAATATTTTTCTAATATTACTTTTGCAGGTCAGTAGCGGTTCTGTGGATACTATGAATTTTCGGGTCAAGAGTGATTTGTAAAAATTCACATAGTGAATCTATTCAGTATGGGGAGAAAATTGCAAACTCTTAATTCTAATTTGAAATAGAGTTTTAAGATAATGCTGTCTCTAATCTGTGTTCATGGTAATGATCCTAAAGGCCTAGACCTATTGAAATCATCATAATGATCAGTCTTCAACCCGATGGGGACCAACTCTCATAGAAAAAATGAATGTAAAAACCCAAAATACACTGTTGATGTTTTCCAGAGCTGTAGTATCGCTACAGTAGTATCAGTTGTTCATAATATGTGTGGCATTCTTTCAGATTGCTTCATACTTTCTGTAAAGTAAATGACTTGGAGAATGCAAAGAAGAAGAATTTGTCCAGATTGAAAAAGTACAGTGACACAGAACTTTTGATGGAGTAGAAAAGGAAAAGCAAATTGTATCTAACGAATAGACTTCCCTTTTTTAGAAAAGATATAACTGTGTGAGCACTGATGATGTTTTTGTACAGATGAGCGAAATGCCTGTGAGTTCCTCAAAGAATCCATGGAAAGTGAATCCAGAGGAGGAACAAAAACGTGTTGACTTGAGAGATACACACTTGATATTCAGCATTGACCCAAAAGGCTGTGAGGATGTGGATGACGCACTATCCGTTAGAACTCTGCCTAATGGGAATCTAGAGTTGGGTGTCCACATTGCAGATGTAACCCATTTTGTAGCAGTAAATTCTTATACTGACATTGAGGCCAGAGCAAGGTAACTTATTTTCTAAAAATTGTAAAATGTATGGAGCTTGGAAGTTTGTAATGCTGCTCTAAGGAAACATTGAGAAGTCTTTTATTTCTTTTGAAAGAGTTCTTGACCATGGAAGCATCTTTTAAAAATATATGCCTAGTAGAATTCTGCTTGTATTTGGATAAAGTAGGCTTACTGGAGAAGAAACTGCTTTCTGACATACTGCCTCACCTTTTTACTCTGAAATTGCCCCTTCCCACAGAGTCGTGATTTAAGTTCATCTGTCCTTAATCACCAATGTTTGCTTTATATGCTTCATCATTTATGATGTAAAGTATTTACAAAGCACTTATTGGCATTCCAAAGGGGAATCTTTCCACAGAACATAGAACACCCTCAAAACGGAAATAATCTTACGTTAATTTTATTCCAGAGGTATTCCAGAGGGCAGGCTCTAGTTTATGTTTTCATATGCGAGACATTCAGTCATTTTTTATTATTTCCACTAATTTGAATTTAAACTGCTGAAGCACTTTATTAAATGTATTGCTTTTTGTAGATGCAAAGAAATGTAAACTTCATAGCCCTCAGAGATGTTTCGTGTAGCCATTAAATGGCTCGTTCTTAGTTGAGCATGCTTTGTACACTCCTAACTGTGCTCTTAATGGAAGGTGAAGATATAGAGGAACGCAGGATTAAGCCTGTTCTATACAAATAGTTATTGAAATAGTTTGACTTCAGGACTGCGAGCGTGTGTTGTGTAAGAATAACCTTTTAAAGTCTTGCCATGTGTCACGTTTTCATGAAGCTATCTTTATACTGCAAACTGCTTGAGATATGCACCAATGCGTGCTTGTTAGAACAGTGTATGTGCTTTATTCCTCAGGGCAACAACTTACTATTTAGCAGACCGTCGATATGACATGCTGCCCTCCATCTTGAGCGCTGACGTATGCTCTCTTCTTAGTGGCGTTGATAGGTAAGGTTTTGTAGTGTTCCTGAGGAAAGAGGTTTTTACAAGTAATGTAATTATCCTTGCTAGTCTCTCTAGCAATTGTTTGTATTTTTGCATTGTTACTAAATCCTGAAGTGTAAGAGTAGCCATGTGAAAGATCAAATTTTCTACTATTGCCCTATTCCTCAAACATGCTGTTTCCCCATTTTGCAATTTATAGGGTTGGTTGGCTGGCTGACATGAGGATGTACCTACAGTTACAGTCATAGGGGACACGTGGCTGAGATAATACAATTAAAATGAATAAAAATACAACTAAAGCAGTGAAATTGTGCTTTAAAACAGATGTGGCCTTATATTTTAGGGGTACCCTGCCTCAGCAAGTAGATTGATAAGATACTGCTGACGTAATTGGTCCTCATTTATTGAATAGGTGGTACTGACAGGCAAGTGTGTCGGTCAGTGGCATTGCTGAGCGCTAGTTTGCTTCATGGAGAAAAAAAGGTAAAATATAAAAGAAACAGAAAGAAATCTGAACATTTGCAACTGTTTGATGGGCTTGAAATGCTAGTTTAAGGCAACCAGAACTGTTTATAGAATTCTGATTTTATCTTTAAGGTATGCTGTAAGTGTCATGTGGGAACTAGATAAAGAGTCATATGAAATCCTGAGAGTCTCCTACAACAAAACCATCATTCGATCTGCACACAAGCTAGCCTACGAAGCAGCACAAGGATTATTAGATGGAGACACAAGTGTCGTTGGTGATATCCTGGAACTGAAAGACTTGGATGAAAGAACTAGACAAAAGAAGTTGACTGAACTGGTCTGGGCAATATCAAAATTGACTGATATAGCACGACATGTTAGGGCTAAGCGAGACAGCTGTGGTGCTCTGGAGCTGGAAGGGGTAGAAATCAGAGTGCAACTGGATGATAAAAAAAATATCCATGATCTCATCCCCAAACAGCCATTGGAGGTACACGAGACTGTAGCAGAATGTATGATTCTTGCCAACCATTGGGTGGCAAAAAAGATTTCAGAAAATTTTCCTCAGCAAGCTTTGTTGCGTCAACACCCTCCACCACGACAGGAGTTTTTTTCTGAACTTCGAGAATGTGCCAGTGCCAAAGGTTTCTCAATAGACACACGGTATCTTTTACTGCTTACCTTAAGCACTTTAATTAAACTTAAGCAATTAACTATTTGGGTATAATTGTTACAAACCATTACAGTTCTGACTATCAATGTTAATGGACACCGCATAGCAATTCTTAACATTTTTACCATAACTTCTCAGTAAGCAGGAGATGATGTCCTAAACAGAAATGCTACCTGCCTGTCTGTTGGTCGGACTGAAAATGTCAATACCTGAATAATTTTGGACACACCAAATACAATTTGTTCAGTCGCTCTGTAATGGTTAAGCTGGGTAATAGCCTTGTTTGCACCTTATGTACCATAACTGTACTCCGAGAGAGTCCTTGTTTGAATCAAGGAAATTCAGTGGAATATAATAATTGTAAAAGATGCAACAATGTTTAGAATTTGTTTGTATGTCAAGATACTATGGAAAGGCTGTAAGCCTTATCACGTTGGGAGGCATCATTTCTGGACTACACAGAGTGAAGGGCGTCAGTAGTGCGTCCTTCTGATTTGGATGTCACCTTTTCCCTTCCACCATTTGTAGTCGGTCTTCTGTACAGAACAGTTTGTAGATCAGCTCACCATCTGCTTTGTGATGCAGAGAGGTGGATTTTGCTCAAATCCTTCTTGCTCCTCCCAGTCGCAGGAAACAAGCCTATCGGTGAAAACTTTTTTTTTTGTCCAAACATTGTTCTAGAATGCAGCTGTTACTAAAACTTCCAACATAGTTTAGTATCATCCTGCTTGTCATTGATATTTTTATATTAGTAATGATTAATAATTTTTAATGTGCTTCCATATGTTATTTTTAATTGCATGCTATTATGATCAGGGTAGCATAATTGTCTTCAGAATTAACATATTCTTTTTTGACAGGTCTAACAAAGCATTGGCCGAGTCCCTGGATAAAGCAGATGATCCCCAGGATCCAATTGTAAATAAACTGTTGCGATCTATGGCCACTCAGGCAATGTCTAATGCATTGTACTTCTCAACTGGTTCTTGTCCTGAAGGAGAGTTTCATCATTATGGTATCCTGTCACTTGCTGTTTTTTATACTATTCGTATTATTATTTCTGAACTGCTGGCGGATTTGTGATTGTTTTTCCTTATCACTGTTTCATTTTTTATTTGTAGGACTTGCCTTAGATAAGTACACTCATTTTACTTCACCAATTAGAAGATATGCTGATATTGTTGTCCACAGATTGCTGATGGCAGCCACCCTTAAGGAAAGTAAAGGAGATGCCAAGGATAATGTATTCGGCAATAAGGATCTTCAGGAACTGTGCAGACACATCAATAACAGAAACAGGGTAAGATGGTCATTATACCTGTCTGTGTGTGTTTATATGCTGTCCAGTGCAACAGGATACCAGTTCTGACTGCAGCTTTTGGGTACTACAATAACATAGTATCACTTCTTTTTTTTTTTTTAACTTTAAAATGTTACATTAACAACAAAAGGAGTTGAGAGAAAATTGGGAAGCGTCCATTTTGCCTGACAGGCAAAAGATGAAAATCAGGAAGTTGAGCATGCAAATGTTGTATCCAACTGCATGAGAAAATTGTGCAATTTGTCAGAAAATAACTGAAGAACGCAGTGAATATTTTTTTACTTAAATATCTGTTTTTTACTTAAATATGTTTTCTTCTGATAGTGTCTTCATACTTCACCTGTACTACAAGTAGGATTTCCGTTTGGATATAATTGTTTTAGGGGGCATGTAGGGGAATAAGTCATGGAAGAAAGAAACTATAAAGATCAAAGGCAAACAAGCTTTTTAGAATTTTCAGTTGTTTTGTCTTCTTTTTTGTGGGGGTACTTGCAGGCAGCCCAGCATGCTCAGAAACAGTCTACCGAACTCTTCCAGTGCATGTACTTCAAAGACAAAACCCCTGAAACAGATGAGCGCTGCATAGCAGACGGTGTTATTTACTCAATTCGAACAAACGGCGTGCTTGTTTTTGTACCAAGGTGAGTTGATTAGAGCTTGGAGTGAGTTTAAAAATAAGACATATGTGTTATGAGAGTGCTGTGGGGACACCTCTGGTCCTTGAGAAAGGAAGCATTTATAGCATGGCTTAGTGTTGATTGATGCCAGCATCAAAAATTTTTGTTATAAATCACAGGCAGCACTTTTCTGTGCATTGACTCCCTCTTGGGAGTTCCCATGAGGGCACCAAAGACTATACTGTCCGTTATGTATTTATTTCCTAACAGTGAAAGGCTGTCTGATCATCTGCCATTAGATGAGGTGTGTTTTTTAAACACTGTAGCAATTTTTTGCCCAAGCACCTGTTAGGGCAGAATAACGATTGGAACATTTATTACCAGGGATTTTTTTTTTTTTATCATAGAAAGTGATTAATTACCTAAAGATAAGGCAGTTTTAACCTTTAACTACATCATAAAGCCATGCATTCCTCAGCCCTCTTTTACTTCAGTATAGAGGATAGTGTGTGTAGGTTGGGAGCACCTTTTGAAAGAGATGCTCCTGGAACTTTGTAGACAGCAGGAGAGCGTACAAGAAATGTTTACATAGTGCTCTTTAAGGCAGTTAAGCTTTTGTTAAGGGCCTGTATCTCAGCTGCCTCCAAATTATCCAGGCAGAAAGCAGTTCTTTACATGAAGGTAACGTCGTATTTTAATTTCTGAGCTTTTTTTTGAGCTTGAACAGTCTGCCGTATTTTTTTAAAGTATACTAAATGTTTTCTGCTTATGTTATATAAATTGATGAGTGAATGGTGGAAGGAGGATCTAGAAGCTATAGAACTAGAGAGCAGTACTTCTCACGTCAGATTTTCCCCTCCTCAAGCTGCAGGGAAAGAGAGCTACCTTTCCTTTCCCTTATTGGCTCTGGACAGTTATATTTTGGATTAGTTTTATGATTTTCCTGTTTGTGAGTTCTAGGTAGCAATGCTGTCTCTCCTGCTAGCTAAGGGGCAAAAGAAATATAGGAATAAGAATTTTCCTTAAAAAGCAAACAACATCAAGAAGAAAGGTATTTTATAGGTATGTTAGGTAAGGCAAACATAGCATGAACACCAGGGACTTCTGTGAATACTTCCCGTCCTGCAAAGAGACAGAGCCTGGATATAAACTGGCTCTATGTAGGCCTGTCAACTCTAGCACTGCAGGTGGCTTAGCTTGGATACGTGGATGAAGATCCAGAACCTCCCCCATCAACTAAGGCTTCCTTTCAGAGAACTGGACTTACTGTAACTGCCGGACTTACAGTAACTCTTCACAGAGAGCTGTTTCCTTACTGTGCTCTCTGAAATAACCTGCAATGCTAGCATTCTTCCATTATCTGAGTATTCCAGGCTCCATCCAGTGCACAGATAATGGATCACTGACTGTTTTTTACTTTTGCTTTACTGTTTTCCAAACATCTCAGTCACTGTCCTCATGCTCTGACTTCATGCTCCCCCCGCCCCAAGAACACATATCAGCGTCCCTTAAGCAGGACTATAAGGCATTTGCCCCTTTAGGCTGTTGCTTTTATATAAGCCTAGCTGGCGTTCCCTTAGTTTCAAAATTAGTAAGAGAACTGATAAGGATGACAATTCCTAGAACGGTCTCGGTCTGCTTTCTTATAGATACGGAATTAAAGCTGCCGCATATGTGAAAAACAAAGAAGGTTTAGTCATCTCGTGTCAACGTGATAGCAGCTGTGAGTGGAAGCCTGGTTCACTTCATCACTTTCAGAACAAAATTACTTCCACTACAACTACTGGAGAATCTGTTACATTAAGCCTATTTGATCACATTACAGTGAGTATTTAATTTGAAGGAAGTAAAAGCAAATAGCATTGTGAGAAATATAATAATTTGTATATTGCTTTTAAGGTGAAAATACTTGTGCATACTTCCCGCTGCCATGCTGACACGATCAAACTTGAAATAATCAGGAATGCACCATACCAGACTTCAGATGCGGAGGTTGCCCAGAAGAATTCTAACGTGATGAAATCTGAATTAGTGAAAGAAGTCAGTCAGTCTGCAGAAGAAGCCCAACGTGCTCAAGAAAAAGCGAGAGTTGAGGTAATTGAGGAAGAATATCAGGAGTATTGCCAGACAAAGGGAGCAAGCTTATACCAGCTGCTGGAAGAGATTAGGGATTTGGCTCTATTAGACATTTCAACTGACATCAGAACGTGAACTGTAACCTAGCAACATCTGCTTCTTGGTACTCTTGTTCACATTAACTTGGCAAGATTTAAATTTTTTAAAAAAGTATATTTAAATCTTCAAGAGTCATTGTAATGAGATAAACTAAATATCTATTTTTAAATAAGAATTATTTTTATTTGATTATGAACTTGTGTAACTTAAGGTTTTACAGATGATAAATCTCACCTACCAGACTAAGGACAGTGTGGTGAATTATTTTAAGTATCATTCAAAAAAGCTGACTTAAGCAATTACCTCCAAGTGTTCTCCCTAAATTAAGTTCTTAAAACCCACATATTTTCTCGCTGTCATCCTCATTATTTCAGCTGTTTTCTTAACTCATAACTAAAAGCATGTAAATAGCAAACTCATTCACGCTAATCCAGAAGGCAAAAAGCTTTGTTTCTTGCAACTAACATACACATCCCCCAACTACACATCTAGCATAACTTCACTTCCTCAGGAGTTAATTTATTTCATCTGCTCTAACTGTGAGTCTTCTATTAAGTACATCTTGATTCAGCTTCTGTTACAAACAGTCTGCCATATGCTATTGTAGGGGGCAGTCTTGGGACTTGACCATTATGGTGATACTTTGGATTAGTTTCTTGCTTCCTTCTACAAAAAGGAAGATTTTAATATGCCTGTTCCTGTTGTGTAGCAAGGAAAATATAGTATTGCAAAGAGAGGATGAAACCAAACTTCAAGAGGGAGAACAAGACCCGCTGAACTAAGAAAGATAACTAATTCCATCAAAGCCAAAGCATGTTCTTGTAAGATGTACTTATCTGCGAAGAGGTTTGACTTGCATCATGGATCTTGAATTTGGAGTGGTTATAGCTTAACATCCTTATACAAGATTTTCAGGTTTGATGTCTGAAATTTAATAGCTTCCATTTTGTAAGAACAAGATACAGGTATTTGATAAGTGAGTTACAAAATACAGGACATCTGGTTCATACATAGCACTAACCTCTATTTAAAAACCTTGAATATAAAACTTGATCTGTCAACCCCCACCCCCCCCCCCAGTTCATTCCGTTTTACATCAACTGTAAACAGAAGATTTAGAGTAGGTCAGAAAACCTTGCATCAGTAACATTTCCCAAAGAAAGTCAATGCCAAAGAAGATATCTTAAACGTCTCAAATCTATTTCCGTTGTTTCCCGACGTATGGTGTTGATCATTTTCACACAAGAAAACCAAGTTCTGTCCAACTGTGCAGACATCAAGATTAAAACTTCCATGCAGCTTCCAGAGCCAGAGTGGAAACAGCAGGTGAGATTTGCATATAATGATAGAACTTACAATGTTGGGATCTTTGTGTTAAGAAAGTCATTCAAAGTACGTGGAAAAGTTACTGCTTTTTACTGGCATATTCCAGTTCTGTACCTCTGTCCTCAGCATCTGCAACAGCAAACTTGGTTGCAGTAACATGAGTGTCTTCTGTAAGGTCAGCCAGATTCTGAGCAGCTGTGGTTTTAAACACCTCTTCTTCTGGGTAACTAGCAGAGAGCTCTATAAAAATAAAAAAAAAAAAAGTCTATGGTGAGAAAAATACTATCGCTCTCTGTTTACCAGCTGCAGTTTCTTTCCGCAGCCCCAGAATCACAGCCTTCAAGAGAGCCAATTTCAGAGATGACTAGCAAGTTAAATTTTGTTTCAGCAACAAGAAAGCCATCACAAGTTAGAAGGACAACTAGGGAGAACAGGAGTTCTGACTTAGCTTTGGAGGAGTCTAACTACAGGAACAGTTTAAATTTGGGAGATGCACGTTTTGCTAGCAAGTACTACCGTTTCCTTTAATTTGGCTGAGAAGCTCAACGGTGTAAGCCTTAAATATCCTACTCTTAGGAATTATACATGTTTTCAAACTCTACAGCAGTAGTTTCAGGGACAACAGTATGAGAAGTTTATCTGTGCTGTTTCAGACGAGGTAAAATGTTTCATTTCTGTCACAGGACAGGTTAGTAACAGTTAAAGCGGGAGATGGGGCCCTCCTAACAGTGGAAGGAGGAGAAATACATACTGTCACTGTACTTGTAGCAATAATTTGCCTAGCTTCTTTGTGACAACTCAGTATCCTAAAGAGATTCTGAGCCTGCATCTTTTAACAGTAAGAATACATACATCTGTCTTTAAAACCTTGCTGGTTCATTTCAATTAACTCTTACAGTTACTGCAACAATTTTTGGAAAGGTGAGACTAGAGACGGTCTTTTTATGTTAAAAAGGTAAAAATTTCCGTCTTCATCAAGAAGAGACAACTGACCAAAACAGGGAATAGCTGACAACTCCAACTGCAGCATACTGGCAGATTACCTAAGGAGAATTTCAATTAGAACCTGATAGTAGTGTCTTACTTTCTAAAGTCCTTTCATGCAACACTTATTTAGAAACACATGTTTTTATTAAGATTGGTAAGCTTTTCTCTTTAATGGGAGGGCAAAGGCCTTAAAAGTTTTCAGACTACCAATATCATACAAACGTTTAAGTTACAAAGTTGTTTACCACTTTGCTGTGACTGGCTGTTACACTGCATCTTTGCTTGTCTGCGTTCCAAGGCTAGTTGCCTGTTCTTCTTGATTCGCTGTTGTTGCTCTGCTGTGAGAGTTGTACCAGAGGGAGAATCCAGTTCTTCTCTTAAATTTCCAGAGCAGGAACGTGTGTCTTCTGTGGCTATATCTAGCCCATTGCTTTCCCCTCCACCATCTGATTTAAAATGAATTGCAAAGGGTGGGGGTGAAAAGGGGCAGAAATCAACACTCTAAACACAAAGAGATATATTGCTAAATACCTGCCAAGACGACATTTTAAAGGCATTTCTGACCATATTCTACATTTTAAAGTTGTACTAACAGTTTGAGATCATTCTGTGATTTAGTTATCAGTTACCTGGCAATTTTCCACATAGGTGCATATAGCTGATGCTCCAAGTGACATAGAACAAGTGCTTATCGGAGAACCCAAACACACGACAGTAAGTAGCACCTGAATATGCAGAAGTATATCTCCGAGTAATAAATCAGCAATCATAAGCTGCGCCTGAAGGTCCAAACCCAATAAATTCAGGTGTACAATCGTTACTGAAAGGCCAGATACTTTTCTTCCTACCCCTACTAATACCGCACTGTCCTTTGGAAAGTGGAGGGGAGGGACTAGTTCTGGGAATCAACAGGCATGTTCAAACATAGACATGAAACAATCCATTTTGAATTCAGTATGCTACTATTACAGAATATTTACTCGGTTGTCAAAATTAACACTTGCAGGATGGAGGCAGTCTGATTCCATTAGACAAACTTCACCCACCAACAGGGAAGCAAAACACTGTTTCAAGATTGCCTGAGGCCAAGTGTACTTGTACCTCTGCTGCACTTAAGCCTGTAAACAGAGAAGGTAGCTGACAACAAGGCTTTTAATAATACCATACTCTCACTTGAAATAAAAATTCAACCTAGAATTACAAAACTGTTAGATATCTACTCAGGTTTTTTGACTGAGGACTGACCAGTTGTAGCAGTACACTGGCTAACAGTTCAAGAACATTATCAGCACTGTATTTAAATACAAATGTATGGAACCATCGCACAGAAAAATCTGATAACTCTACAGACACTGTCGGCAGGAACCATTTATTTTACTATTTGTGGCTGCTTATGGTTGCATTAAATTTCTAGCAAATGCAGCCAACAGCAAAGACAGCCACATTTCACTAACTGCCCTAAAGTCTTCCCCCATAGGTAGGGCAAGGTTTTACCACTGGTAACTCTTTCACTGCAAGGCATTTTCCAAACACTGATTTGTCTGGATGATGAAGTTCAAATTAAGGCAAAGTAGACAACATAGATAATTCTTTTTCAAGAGAGACCTACAGTGGAAGTGTAAACACCTGCAAAGGACTTCAGAAAAGACTATGAAATTCTGACATTTCTGCTAATAAAATTTTTCACACTACCCTTTAAGTGAATTCTGTGCTCCTTCTTTTTATAAATGAACTTGGTTTCTGATCCATCTGAAAATGTCATCTGATTAGAAGACATTCATGAATTATCTACTTACTAATTTTAAGATTTTGAAATTGGAAGAAACAATAGCAGCTACACACCAAGAGTGACACACATAGCAGTGCCTACAAGCATTAATAAGTACTTTTCCTATAAAGGACGCTACATCCTGACTGCATTGTAAGAGTTGGCAGTATAAGCAATATAATGAGTCTACAATTTCTTCAGTAATAAGATCCAAGAGCTCCTCAAACTGCATACTCATATAAGAGTAAAATAAAAACAAAGAATATATGCACTTGAGAATTGCAGTTTTGGGTTTTTTGCAAGACCATTGCTAATGCTGATTTTAATACCCGTTTTCCATTTCCTTTCTATATGCCACTCAGTTATAAATATAGATGGTGCATTTTAGTTTGAGTTTTGTAATTGTAAGTCAGTTTTGTAATTTTAAGTCTTGCCACAGAAGTCTGGTTTTAAAATGGAGGACCAGTCTTAACAATTTTTTCTACAACAGAAAAATAGTTCCTGACCATTAACTTCTAGTCAGTGGGAGAGGAAGGAGAGACATTTTAAGCATTCAGCCACTGAACAAACAGCATAAAGAACATACCTTCATTATTCGTGAAGTCTTCATGCAAAATAGGAAGATCAAGTCTAATCCGCTTTAGACAGGTCTTAAAATGAAAAGAAAAACTGGTATTTCATCGGTGACAAAATCTTCTGTGTTATGTTGATATGTTTTTAATACTACTCCTG